GATCGATCGAACTGCCTCAAATTGCATAGAAATCTGATTTCAAGCCAAATTAAATGTGTGCTCATGATGCAATCATTTGGAGGTCCTTGACACGAGGTCTAACCATTGGGTGTGACATTTGAGCTACCTATATAAGGATTTTAGCTATTTTTAGTAAAGACGTTAGTTAGTTAGAGGGAGACTTGGCTAGAGATTAGGAGAGAAACATAGAATTTGGGAAAGTTCTTCCACTCCTCTATGGTTTCTACCAAGAGCACAAGGGGAGGAAGATGAATTCTACCATAGAGATAGCCCTTGAGGGTTGGATGACAACATCAATAAGTGGCTAAACCATTCTCTTGGGACTAGAGATAGCCCTAAGCATGCCTCTTAGACTTTGATGTTTTGTAATTAATAGGGATTTGTGTAGTATATCTTGTCTTGACATCTTTTATATATAAATCTTGTTTCTACAATGATTTGTGTAGCTTAATATTTCCAATTGATCATTTAATTCTATCCATATGTCTATGTATGCTAGAATGGATGTTCATGTGTTTATCTCTAGATTTTGTGACATTGATGCATGTCTATGCGTGTTGATATTATGAATCTAGTGATGGTCAAGGCATGGTCCTTAAATAGGTTACTCTTGTGGTTTATTTGATGATTCATACTTATTTCTTGATGGATTGTGCCACTTCCTTAGTTTAATTAGTTTAGTTTTCATGTCACTAGCTTAGTTGTAGTGTAATTGCCTTACTTTCTTATATAGGAACAATCCATTCTTGTTGTTTAATGTTCCATGCTTATGAATGTAAATAGTATATTTCTCTAATTTGTTGAGTGTGCATTAATTGTGGGCTTATGGAAGGATTAATGGCTTAATTTGATATGTTGTATTATTCACTAAATTGACTAGACAATGTATGCTTACTTGGCCATCCATGCTAATATTTCAATTAGTGACACACGTTTTCATTTACAACACACAATCCCCTTAATCTATCAAATATTGAATGTCTAGGAAGGTAATGCTTAGTGGTGAACTCTATGACCCAAGACTCCTCTCTCATATTCTTTACACCTTATTTGTTTTAGTTATTTTACATTGCATTTATTTAGTTTAAATTGTAGTATAATTCAACCAACAAACCATCTTTTGATCATTCAACCTACTAATCTAACAAATTGATTCCAAAACACGATTTCAATCCCTTGGGACGATCCCTACTTACTCTAACTACTTTAATAGTTGGTAGTGGTAGTGGTAGTGGTATTCTATAAATTCAAACTTGACCACACTACACACTTCATTGTGCAATTTGGGGTCTTGACAAGACACACACCAAGTGTGAACCGGTTCAAGCTGTCAACTAGTTCAACTAAAGTAGACTGCCAGTCTTGAACCAGTTCCACTTTGGCTGAACTGGTTCAAGGCTGTGGGTTAGGGTTTATTTGGCTGCACACTGTTAGGCACTCTTTGCTCTCTCTGCTTGTGTGATTTTTTACCCCTTCTCTCACAAACTCTCACCTCCTCACACAAGCTCATATACATATACATCATATGTATATATATATTTATATATTTAACATCTAGTTCATCATTCCATGACATAAATTGTTTATTACATGAATATCATTGAGGATTAAAGAACAAATACTTGAAGAGAAGATTGAAATATGAAAATTGGAGTTTGAGATTTCTTTACTTAGAGGATTGGTAAAGAGATTCAATTCTTGGGCTGTTGTTGAAGAAGATTGAAGCTTCTACTTGTGGTCTATATTGCAAAATACTTTGTTATTGATTTTGGGGAAGATTGAAGATCAAATCAAGCTCATTCTATAACACTTTTGGGGTTGCACACTAAGTGTTTGATAGAATTCTTGAAAAAAGTTGCAAGCTTCAAAGCGAAAAACTTTGTAAATCAAAGGGCACCGAAAATCTCTAAAGAAACTAAAGGCAAAGGGGGTTGTACACCCAAAGCCTCCCAAAAGGCCATAACTAGCATTGTCATCCGAGAACCCAAAGAGATTATAATGCTCCAAGAGACACCGCTTCTACTCCTATAGCGACTGACTCTCCTTCACGAGAGGAACCAAGTATCCCTCTGTTTCAAGCACGGGAAGAATTGAGTTTGAACAATCTCACTTCTACAATGAACTCGCCTGGAAAGCTTATGTTGACATCTACAAGGACGGTCCGATTAAAGATTGAAAGGAATGTGAATCTACAAAAGCTTCGTGGCACAACTGGACAGAAGCTTATGACATACATTGAGAAAAACAAGTGGCTTTTCTTTACCAAACTCGGTAAAAGCTATTTTTCTCCAGATATGGTACATTACTTTTATGCCAATATTCGAGAGGTCAAGGATAATTTCTTCATTGTATCACTTTTTGGGATTGATTATGTGGTTGACAAAGAAGCCATCTAAGCCATCTTGGACATACCAGACAGAGATGATATGATAGGACAAGTCTTACCATTGGAAGATTCGGGTCTATAATTGCCATTGATTGTATTCAAAATATGTGTTCCACTCCAAGGAATGAAGATAGCATTTCAGCTCGTTTTCTGACAGATGAGGGAGCATTCTTTAATTTGTTCGCCATGGCTAATCTGGGATATTTTGGAAAAAAGGACGAGATCACTCTAGAGCAAGCACATATTCTATACTTTCTTGCTATAGATGAGCACATACAGCTTGCACTATCCATTATGCAATAAATGGTGGCTCATTACAAAAAGAACCCGCGTTGCAATTCATCACCTTTTCCAATGATAATCATGAATTTCTACAAGCTCAAGAATATTAAGATTCCTCCCAGAGCTTACCATCAGCGTATTGTGACTGAGCTAGATACTCGTGCTCTGAGTAAGTCCAAATTAGCTAGGGAGAATGCTAGAAAGGCTCAGAGAGGTGCCGATGAGGGTTCTTCACAGGCTCCAAAGGTTACACAACTATTTCCTCACAAGGGAATTTTTCAAGAGCTGATGCAAACATGATGTACTCTCTTCTTCTTCAGAATCAAACTTCTATGTTTGATAGGATAATGGATGAGAGAAGAGATCTCAAGGTTCAAATGGGACAGATTAGAGGACAACAGCAAGGAGGTTCTTTAGATGATGTTTACCGGCCTACACCTCCAGATCCATCTTTGAGAGCTAAGGATGATGATGATGAGTATTCAGGTGGGGATGAGGATGATGATGAGGAGAGTGGTGGAGATTAGAGTATTGATGACTTTCTGACTTTATGGTTGGAGAGATAATGATGCTAATATTTTTGTATCTATTTCTCATGCATCATGACATCATACTTTGTGTTTAACATGGTCATTATTTTTGGATAATATATTTTGACTGAATGACATGTTTAACTGTTCTACTGTATCTCTTATTTTTCTCTGCTCTAACATTATATTCTTTGTCAATTTGTTCCAAAAAGGGGGAGAGATAAATATTATCTTAAGGGGGAGATAATTGGATATTTACTTAAGGGGGAGTTTTATAATTTTTTTTATTAAACTTCACTTGGTAGTTTTTGCTTGATATTGTGCAGGAAATCAGGTCAAATCGTTTATCCAATAAGAGAAGAGAACAGAGAAGAAATTCCGTGTTTTTCCTTTTAACAAAATTGTAATTTACTTTTCTTCTTTGGTAGATTACTTAAATGTTTTTAGGGTTTTGTCACAAAATTGCCAAAGGTGGAGATTGTGAAATATAAATTTTGTAATCGGCAATTTTCGGTAACAAAACAAGTCCTAGTCGAGTTGTAATTACAAGTTACCATATCAGGATCGATAGCGACTATAGAATTGGAAGGTTATTCAAAGATGCCATAACTGAGATCATCAAGAAATTAAAAAACAACACTTTAGGAAGAAATCTAAAAAGGTTAGGGCAGTTCCATACTTGGTATATTTTCAGAAAATCCAAAACAGTGTTTTTACCAAGTTTCAGCCTTATGATTCAAGTCTGGCAAACTTGAACCGGTTCAAGCTTCTTAGAACCGGTTCAAGCCTTTCAAAATTGGCTTCGAAATAACTCTGCCATTCTTGAACCGGTTCAGGAGCCTTCTACAGGATTTGGTAAGTTTGCAATACTGTTCTGATTTCTTTCATACTTGGTTTAGAATTGTACCAAAAGTCCTATGCATGAAATTTCCTTTATTTTCTGAAAGATTAAGTCTTTGAATATTCTATATAAACCCTGATATTCACCTAGGTTTATTATCGACTTTTATACTATCAATTCATTATTCTTAAAAGCCTTAGAAAGATTATTTTTGCAGAAAATCCAAAAGATTTCTCTGTCAGTCTTTCTAGAACACACACATAAACACATAGTGAGTTTAAGAGTATTGTTCAAATCCTGATCGTGATCATACAGTTGCATCTACAACAATCAGAGAAAAACAAATCAACTTCTACATTAAATTCAGATATTGTAGAACAAAAGTAAAAGTGATCACACTTTGAAAGGGTCAAAGCATTCGAGGAGTGTTGTTTAATTTACCTACTACCCTTCTACAAAGGTCAAGCATAAGCCTGAGATCAAGTTGTTGTTGGATGGGACGTCGCAAAGCCAGAGGATTGTCAGCTATTGGTATTTGGTAGAACGATAGGGTGTGAGCCAGAATCAAAGTTCAGTGTACTTTGTTTCATACATAGTGGATCGGTTTACTTTGAACTGCACAATCCACGAGATTTTTCCCGCGCAAACAGTTGACGTATTTTATCAACTGGGGTTTCCTCGCTAAAAATCCTGGTGTCATCTCTAACTCTTACTTTACTTTATCTTATCGTGCATGTGATTAATTATTTAATTGCTAAAATAAGTAAAGATTAAAAAGACACATATCTATATCTAAAAATACAAAACTTTCTAAATATTCCGCCGCGTACAACTCACAGTGCCTTGCACAATCTTCAATGAAAACAGAGTAAAAAGTTAAATATATCACTACCAAATGCTGCAAAGGTTAATATAAGAGGAAAGATGAGTCAATTCTTACATCATGCAGTCTTTGAGGGTTTATAAAGAACAGAGTCAGAAATTCCTTCACACTGGTAATGTTTTCTCTGCTTAAACGCTCATGGAAAGTGCCATCTTTGGCGATCTTCTTTAATCTCCACACTTCATCAGAAAGAAGTGGAGGATAGTGCTTCTCGTACACTGCAAATGGAAACCCAAAATTACGGTGAGCTTGTTTAAATATTTCAACCATCAAAAAGTTATTCCACCACCTTAGAATTAGCAACAATTTACCTTCTTTGCCTGAATTTCTTTATAGTTTCATAGGAATCCATATGTGCAAGAAATTCAGACTAAAGAAACTAGTGATTTCTACGACTAGACATATATATATTTTTTTCATAGCCATAACTCATTAGTCAAGTAATACATGTTACTTTATTCATTCAAATAAATATCACAATTTGAAATTCTGAAGCAGCAAGTACCAAAGAGGACATAAGAAGAATAACCAAATGACACTACTGAGTTCAAAGTATAAGACAGAAACCTAGAAAAAAATAAAATAAAAGTTGAATGATGTCTTCTGAACATTGATATTTAAATTTTAGTAAATTTTCAATTTTCATCAATCATACTCACAATCATGAAACAAAGATAAATTAAATTAGAATAAAGTAGATACACACAAATTTTTACTTGGAAAACCCAAAAGGTAAAAACCACAAGACATAGGTCTGGTATATGAGAAAGAGATTACAACTAGGTTATCACTCCGCTTACCCTAGAACCCTAGACACCTCCTGACACAGACAGACTCCAAACTTTTGACCAAAAGTCTTAGGTAGCCAGTCCGTTCATCAACAGACTTTTCTCCTTACGAATTTGTTTCACCAGTGATTACTCTGACAGTTAAACCAGTCAAATTGAATTGGATTGATGAACACAACCACATATGATGGAATCCGTGGAAACCCTCAATTGAATAAATTGGGAATTCTCCTCTCACAATGATTTTCTCTTTGTAGATGATTAGAGACATTCCACATACCCATAGACTGACTATAACCCCATATTTATAGCTAATATAAGAATCCCATACATATGTGATTAAGGATGTGAATTTCACTTTGTTCCTCACAATTCTGTGTATGCCTTGTCTTCACGGATGTACTCAAAAGACTCAAGCCACTTCGACACATTATAACATAAGTTCTGAGTAGGAATATGCCAACACATGACTCATACACCATACAATATTAAACTAAATGCTACGTGTTGAACTAATTGAAGTTGATGGGGGAAAAAAAATGAACAGTACGGGTAGCCCATGTTCTTCATCTGTCATAAGCTCAAACCAATTCAAGAACATTGACAATTCCCTCATCACTCCAAAGTTCAGGGAACTAACAGACTTCAATAAGAGGTGACAATACAAGCTGATATGAGATGTGAAAACAACAGATCCATTTGAGCAGCACATTGTCTGTTTCTGTACAGAAAGAACCAAATCATTAAATGACTCACTATTTCTACTTACATTTATCACATTGTTTAGAATACAATTCAATTAGAAGATTAAGATGAATGCCTCCCAGCTGATTTTCCACCTAAAAAGAAAATGCCTCCCAACTATAGCCTTCTGTTTGATAGGAAATGAATTGATATGCATTCAACGTTCTCCTTCCTAATTTTTTATTTTTTGAAAAAAAAAAAAAAAAAAAAAAAAAAAAAAATTTGTTTAAACATGCAGGTACGGTGCTATTTATTCAAAAGAACATTGTTTGGATGGATCAAATGCTTGATTTTGACAATCAATACGAGAGCTTTGAAATAATGCTTTTGTCAAGTGAACAACGTTTTAACCCCTTAAAACGTCTCTCCACATATAGGTTACTGAATAAGTAATATAAATATACAAACAGAAATACATGCATACATATATATGATATACATTTTATATCACATTAGTTAATTTAGGTACATTCAAAATCTCCTTTTATTAATTGAAGTGCTACGCATTTAAACCTTTTTGTAAAGTTCAACTGGATTCCACAGCCACCACCAAGCCTTGAATATCATCCTAGCTCCTCAACATTACGTAGAAAAAAGCCATTCATAATCTTCTGTAGAATTTTTCTTCATGTCAGGGCACATGCACACAAAACATGCTTGGAAGTTTCAGATTCTTTGTTTAGATGATATGTTGGATCACCAATCTGGTTCAAAGATTTTTTCCCTTTGCCATTGATCAAACAATCGATCACAAGATCTTTCATTATCTGAAAGAATACACAGAAGGTTTTTCAGCTCTCTTCTCTTGCCTTAATGTTTTTATGTCCAGTGGGCAGACTAACAAGTGGGGATCAATTCTTTATAACTACACATGCAAATCCTATTCTCCATCAAACACACAAATCCGATGTAATAAGGTGTGCCAAACTTATGAACTCTTACGATCACGAGTCACAACAATAACCTGACCTTATCCCGTGCAGTCTCTATCACAAAAGCATCCCAGACAAACCCAATATAATAATTAATGATAGCCCACAAACCAAAAAATTCTTACAGAATAGGAGGTTAGACAAAAAGAAAAGCAGACCTTCTCTTACAAGTCAAAAACCTAAAAACACATAGTAAATATGTTCAATAATGAAGAAAATTATTCACCGCCTTCAAGAGCATATAGTGTGACATAACAGATTAATAAGTAAATTGAAGTGGCAAGTGGCTAATATTCCCACTGGCATCATCACTAATATATTATGCAAAACACACAACTAGAACTCATAAAACTCACAAGCTCTGAATACACAAAACTAGTTTTAATACCACACCACATTTAAACATTTGGAATTAAACATATTAACAGTCATATATTTAAATATATCCGTGTCACAAAATTTTGTAGCACCACTGAACCCACTTTCTCTTCCCAATATATAATTGCAAATGCCAGCTTTTAGCAAATAAATAGCACATAATAAGATTAGACTACTCACATGAGCTGCGGCGATCTTTGAGAATGAAGGGTTCTGATATTGCTTCTCTTACTCTAGTCCCACTGAAATCATCCACCACTCTAGCTCCAAGCCTGAATTCACCATTCTTCATCCAGATCGAATTATGTGTAACAGAAATGTCACCTACAGTACCAAGGCCTCCTTTCATATTCAGAAATGCGTCTCCAATAAGAAAACACTTTTTCCCTTTTCTTTCTCTAACAATCTTTTGGTTAAACTCTTCAATTGTCCAATAATGTCCTTCACCGTCATCAAAATCTCCTTCAATAACAACAATTTCAACCTTTGCCGAGGCTTCAGGACCACTATTGACAATTTTCTTTGTTAAACCATCAACTAAAGCAACTCTGATGGAGGTGCCTTTTTCTCCTTGAATTCGGATTCCAGTCAATACTGGAAGAGAGAGTTTATCTAAAAAGCATAGCTGGAAGATTTTTGACTCAGAAGGATGTATCTCATTCCTGGAGTTCCTGAACAACAAGTTCAACCATATGTCAGTTATGCATCATTCACTAACAAGAGTGTCAATTGACTCAACTACGTGGGAAAAGGGTGGTTTAACCTATAAACTATTACCATATAGGCGAAAAAAAAAAAGAAAAAGGAATAAGGATAACTTTGTCACCTAATCACTGGGGAAAAAAAAAAAGAGGAGGGAGAAAGAAAACATATATTTATGATAGTTGTTATAATCCTCACCCCTTAAAGCTAGTCAAACTAGTTTCTTGTGCTAATTTAATTTCCTCTTTAACCTGGAAACACATATAACATCAACGAGATATTACTGACTATTTAAACAATCAATAATGATGTACCATTTGTAGAACCATAAAATGTAGCGTAATGTAGAATTTCAATATTGCATAAAACTATTGCTCATTGCCTTGATTCGTAGACAGGGAATGATAGATTCAGGGTCCTTGACAGTTAATTCTCATGACTCGGGTTTTATGGGTGGTGGTTCCATTTTTCCCAACAACTCATGAGAAAATTCAGGACTTCAGATCACTATAGTGAAGTTGGATGATTCCAACTATTTGATTTGGAAGATTAATTATATTATTGGTTCTGAGAAAGAGCCAGCTGAGTGAGAGAAGGCATATCCACAATGCATTCGCTGCATTGTAATAATTCCATGGTTATGTCTTGGCTAGTCAAATCAATGCAGCCAAACATAGCCGTTGACTATATATAAATTCATGAAAACTGCTAAGCAGATTTGGGAATTTTGCAGTTAGGACGAGATTTCGATTTCTTAGGGTAACTTGACAATTTCAGGTTACATTGCCAAGCTTCATGTTATATTGGAAGGATGTCATATTATGATTCCTTCCACTACTCTTGCAAGGATCCAAATGATGCAATTTTATATGCGGGGATTGTGGAGAAGAATAGGGTGTTTCAATTTCTTACTGAGTTAAACGACGAGTTTGAGTATGCTCGTTTTCATTTGTTGGTGTTGTCTTCATTCCCTACTCTTAAGGATGCATATTGCTATGTGTTATCAGATGAGAGCTTTCAGACTCATCCACGAGGCACTGCTTATGTTGATCACTCTGCTATGGCAGTTCGTGTTCCCAACTCTTCACGAACTGCACCATCTGAGTTAGTTCAAAGTTCTAGCACTGGTCCTCCTCCTGGACAACAACGTGGGTGATGTGACCATTACGGGAAGCTTGGTCATATTGAATTTCATTGTTATGCACTGCATGGATGCCCACCACAGCAGAAACAACAGAAGTCACGTTCCTCTACACATTATGTTACACAACCAGTCTCGTTGTCAACTCCTAACAACTCTGCCTCTTCTTCCTTTGCCACAGTTACCTTGACTCGGGCAGATTTGGACAAGTTATAAACAATTCTATAATCAGATGGAGACATCATCTCAACCAACCTCCACTTATGCCCACTCAGGTACTATTGCATCTAAACATTATCATTAATTCTGGTGCTTCAGACAATTTGACTGGTATGTCCTCCTCCTTCTAATCTTATAGTATCTACTCTAGCCATTGCAAGGTAAGCCTTGCGGATGACTCTCCATCTTCCATTGTTAGGAAGGGTCACCTATCAGTTACTCCTTTAACTTTATTGGACACACTTCATGTTCCATAGCTGACTACAAATCTTATTTCTGCCAGTAGCATTACTAAACAGAAAAGATTTTCTCTGATCCTGGTAAAAGAGAGGGTGGGTTCTCAGCCAGCGAAAAGAACCATTATAATGGTTTCTTCTCTACCTGGTAAAGAGAAGAGTGATAGTAAGATCTGAAAATCCTCGGGAGGCTCTCCTGGAGGCAAGGACGTGGGCAGGTGCTGAACCTAGTAAATCCTTATGTATTGTGTGTTTGCATTTTCTCTATCCATGAACTCCGTATCTGTTGTATTCTTGCAAACCATTGTTGTGTGCCTTGCATTTATTCCATTTAGTTTGCACATCCAAGACCATTCTGTTTCACTTGCTAGCACAGTTAGATTTTCATCTTCATATTTCGCCTTGTGATAGAAAACAAAACACCCAAATCCATCCTTATTAGTCTTCACACAAACAGCCCCTTAGACACACTCCCTTTTGTGTAGACAGACTTAGTGCCTTAACTTTGAAAATTTTGTGAGCAGCAATGACCACTCTTGAAGACAAATACTCTACTAAATGGTGATTCTTTACAATGTTAATAGAAATCATTTACAGAGAGTGATGTATCATCAGAAAGAATTACAATAACTAAAAATGTTGCCATTTCCCACCAAGGGTTGTAGCCCAGTGGTATCTCCTCTGCCTCCCAAAGTGGATGGTGAAGATTTAAACAAATAGGTGTGTGAGTTTTCTTGCCAAGGGGTAAAAGATAAAAAATTTAAAAAAATTTGTTGCCATTTCTAGGATCTAATAGATTTACAAAGTTATTGTCAAACGGAACATTACAAGTCTGCTGTTACATGGACTCTCAGATTACCCTTTTCGTGGACACCCAGATTGTCCACATAGCATGATTGAAAAAATAAAAATAAACTCACATTTAATAGTAGAGACTAGTTTTTTTCTCTATAAGATAGATTGAAACCTTTTTTTTTTCTTTTTTTTACAACATCTCCTATTTGATTTGAGTAATAACTGAATATTTTCTAATAAAACAACGACTCTAAACAATGCACTGTACTAAAACATATAATGTATTTACATACGTAGTTATTTTTTTTAATTTTTTTTTGATAAGTAGTATTTACATACATAGTTCATGTCTACATATAGGCGCAAAGTAGTAATATAACGTTAAATTTTAAAAATAAAAAATAAAAATTTTAATTATTTTTGTTTCGGTGCATTTTTAATGCACAATTTTAATAGCAAAATAAATGATACGAGAAAAATAAATGGAGACAAGATTAGTATTTTCTCTATAAGATAGATTGAAATCTTTTTCTTTTTTTTTTTTACCACATCTCCTATTTAATTTGAGTAACAACTGAATATTTTCTAATAAAACAACAACTTTAGAACAATGCACTATACTAAAACATATAATGTATTTACATACGTAGTTTTTTTTTTTTTTTTTAATACAGTCACAAAGTAGTAATATAAAGTTAAATTTTAAAAATAAAAAATAAAAATTTTAACTATTTTTGTTTCGGCGCATTTTTAATGCACAATTTTAATAGCAACTCTATAAATGATATGAGAAAAATAAATGGAGACAAGATTAGTTAACAACCAATAAATGAGGTGTTGAGCATTCTTTTTCTTCTCTTCAATTTATAACAATTAATTTATATACATATATAAATATGTAGAGAGAGAGAGAAAGAGAGAGTTCTAATATATTGTAGCAAGGATTACAACATTTTTTTTCATTAAATTGAATTTTTAAAAGCAATGCTAATAAAGACTTTAAAGGGGTCACAAGTAATTTCTTTCACAAACCACCTTTACTTACCATAGATTGGTAACTACAAATGGGAATTTTTTTTTTTTGATAAGTAAAGATTCTATAAAAGAAGCGTTCAAAAGGGAAACACATTCCTCGACAGAAACACAAGGCCTAACAGGGCTAGGGATGGCAACGGGGCGAAATTGGGGCGAGTTTGGCTAAACCCTATTCCACCCCGTTAGAAAATCTATCACACCAACTCTGTCCCTACTCCGAAACGGGTTTGTAATTGTTATACCATCTTTGTCCCTACTCCAGTAGACAAAGTACCGACTCCACCCTATTGTACTCCGTTTAATTGCGAGACGCGACGGGGGTGGGCTGTGTTATGCCTCTTTTATTACGTAATAAAAATATATACATAATAGCCCAATGTGCTCAAATTGAGCTAATAAATAAGCTGGCCCAACTTGTAAATTACTAAGTAGTGAAAAAATATATTAACGGACAATTCCAACAAAGTAACAATATTAAAAATATAAAATATATATTTTTATGTATAAAAATAATAATTAAAAGGGCGGGTTCATCACTAAATCCACCCCCGCCCCAAACCCGCTTCGGGTTTTCAATTATTTTACCATACCCGTCCCAAATCCATTTAGGGGCCACTAAATCCACCCCATTTAGTGCAGGGGAGAGCCGAAAACCCGTCGAGTCGGAAGAAATTGTCATCCCTAAACAGGGCCTCCAAACTCCCAAAGATTCCAAAAATCACCATTAATAACTATAAATAATTACCATTATTAGAGTTTTGAGAAAGATATGGGGTGGGCCAACTTTAGCTTTCCTATACAAAATTAACATTAATAATTATAAATAGTTAGTATTAATACACTTTTGAGAAAGAAAAAAAAAATAGGTGGGGGGAGGGGGTGGGCTGGCCCTCCCCTCGCCCACCCTCCCTTCGCCCCCTCTCTACGTATCCGTATTCAACTTTTAGTCACATATTCTTGTATCCTAAGATTTGAGATTTGAGGAAGTCCAACAAATGATGCACACCTGCATCCAACACTTCGCTTAGTACAGGTAACATAGCATATAACATAGTGGAATCATTTTAAGATCATAAGGCATCCCAAACACCCTCAGTGGATGCATGAACACCAAAATTATATATTCAAGTTCCAACATAGGGGGTGGAGGATAACGCAAATATTCTCTTAGCATCCTTTATGGAATGATGTTGATACAAAGTCAAATTGATGATAACTGGATGTACTGATTCACCAACAAAATAAACTATCATACAATTTTTTGTTGACATCTTTTAGCATTCAAATGAATCGATGCAAGCTACTACTACATTAAGTGTCTTGAATACTAGTGACCAAAATTGTACCTCCATTTGTTGGGCTTTACGATCCACAAACAGAATAAACTAAGTTTTTGAATTCTCAATCAAGTACTTCGAACTATTAAATGCATACCAGCACACTGGTATACAGAGTGGCCTTTGACACTGAATGAGAACAATACCAGATCCACCTTATCGATGGCTAAAGCTCCACTGTGGAGTTGATTAATTTGCAAACTGTAGCATCTAGTGGCTTCGAACTCTATGGAGACCAGATAATCACCCACATTGATGAACTATAGTTGATAACTTTAGAAACAAAGACATTTGATAATTCTCCTACAATGAGGACTTCACCAACTAATGGAGACTGACTAGTGGTATCCTATGTGATAAGAAAATACCAAACAAGTTAAAATGAAAATTTTATAGGATTAGGCCAACTATCTTATACGGGGCATGGTGCTGGGCAGTACAAGAGAAACAAGAACGATGCATTCCTAGAATTGAATTGAGAATGTTGAGATTGATGCAAGAGTGACTAGAAGAGGGATGTTTACTAATCAGAGTGTGAGGGAGCGATTAGAAATAGTGTCTATTAATGATAAAATAAGAGAAAGTGTGTTTAGGGTATGGACACATAGAAAGTAGTATCGCGGATGCAACGATAAGAAAAAGAAGATCAGAAAAAAAATAACTTGGAATGAAGTAATAAAAAATGACCATAAAAATTTAATATAAGATAAAACATGGCATGTAATAGAATAAAATGGAAAAGAGATTATGTCGCCAACCCTATTCATTTGGGATGAATACAAGGATGGTGATGGTGATGGTGATGATGATGATGTTGATGAGCTCCATAGAAATATGATATGCAAAACAACAAACCGATGACATATTTTAATCCCAATTTTAAAATAATATTCTACAAAGAAACATATTGAATATGTTATCTCAACAAAACAATTTCAGAAAATGCACTTACAACTCGACGTATCAATTGCTCCAAACCTGGTTCCATAAATCTCTCGACTGCACCCAACCTCATTACCTCCTGTACCACACTAGAAATTATTAAAGAAAGAGTCAGAAACCGAGAAAATAAAATTACTCATGTAATAGCAATCACTGATTGTTTAAGCAAAATAATTAAACTTCTCAACATTAAAGCCATACGGCCACACTCACTCCATTTCTCACTAAAGTAAGCATTCTTGTTATGTTTTCATGAACCATGCAATGCTAGGCCAACTCAGCCCCCAAATTAAACAATTCTTTAGTAAATCAGCCAGCCCAAATGTACAAATTTTATTTTTTTTGGTAAGTACAACTATACAATTTTCCATTCACATAAACCACAAATTCTATAATGTAAACCTATTAAATTTCTCAATGTCAACAGTACACCCACTTCCAGGGGCGGAGCTAGGAATTTGGGGAAGTTAACACTGACAAAATAATTTTTTTTCCAAATAGGCCAAAAATATAATAGCATAACAACAGTGCATTATAATAAGTGAATAAAAATTGAACAAGAAGAGAAAAAAAATAAATAAATAAGGTTATTGCACAAATATTATGCATGAGTGAAAGAAAAAAGAAATTTTTAAGAAGAAAAAGGAAATTTTTAAGAAGAAAATGAAATAAAAAGAAAAAAAATATGAGCAAATTTTGAAAGGAAAAAATAGGTTTTAATTGTAAAAAGAGAATGCAAAAGTTTTTGAAGATGACAAAAAGAAATTTGAAGAATAAGAATGAATAGGAACAAAGAATTAAAGACGTTTTTAGAAATAGATAATTTTATGGGGGATAATTTATAAATTTTATGGGGTTATTTTATAAATATTTACAAATTATACGCATAAAATAAAATAAAATAAAATTTAGTGGATTCAGGGACAGAGGGGCCATTTTATTAATTTTGGGGGGGGGTAAAATTTAGTGGATTCAGGGACAGAGGGGCCATTTTATTAATTTTGGGGGGGGGGGGGCATTTTATCAATTTCTACAAATTTATGTATAGCACAAAAAAAAAAAAAAAAAATCTAGTGGCCAGCAGGGGGGAGGGGGGGGCAGCTACCCCCGGGCACATGCTTTCTCCACCCTTGCCCACTTCGATACTTGGTAACATAATTATTTATGGTAAAGTGAAAAAAAAAAAAAAAAAAAAAAAAACTCCTAAACTATGTCTAAATTTGCAAATAACACCCTTGAAGTAAATTTGTTCACAATATCCCTGAACTATCACATTTTTGTTGCATAATGCCCCATGTCTGGGCTATTTTCATTAAATGACCATAATTCCCTATCTTATTAAATTACACTTAATCCATTTTCTTTAAAAAATAAATTTTGAAAAAAATTCATGTTAATTTGATAACATATTCTCCATTAAAATTGTATAAATTTACCTTAATTCTTGAAATTAATTGTTGAAATAAAAATCTTCAATAGAAAATTTTATAACAATTTATTTTAATTTCTTAATTTTTCATGAATATATTGCATAAAAAAAAAGAAGGTTATTTTTATTTAATTAAATCATTTATTTTTCATAAATATATTGTATGAAAAAAAAAAAAGTATTTTTTTATGCTAAAATTTTTAAATCGAATATAGTAAGTTTTATTATAAATAGTAAAGTTTTAATAATAAGTTAATCAATTTAAAAAATGGTCATTAGAACTAAATTTATTTACTTTTTCATTTTTATGATAAATTGATACTAATAATAAAATTAAGGTAAATGGCATAATTAATGTTTAGATGAGTGAAAAGATAATAAAAATAATTTAATAAGAAATAATAAATTTAATGAGAAAGGATAAAATAGTCTTTTGTGGTGAGTTTCTCTTTAATTGTAACAAATCATTAGTTTAGGGAGCAATTTGTAGTTTTATTTGCATAATGCAATAGTTCAGGAGAATTTTTTGCACTTTACCCCAATTTTTTATTCCATATATTTCCCTGTTTTCCATAAATTTCAGAAAATCCATCAAAACCTTCCCCAAGAACAATAAAACTTATAAAAGTCCAATCTCCATAAAACAATCAACTGTCACATGAACAAAGCACATTCATCAACTGTTTTTACTATAATCATACCCAATTCAGTTTTAATAGGAGTCCACAACAACATAATGTGACTGGGCATGCCTAGAGTAAAGGTAGATTGCTCCATTGTGACTTGGAGATCAAGGGTTCAAAACCGAAAAGAACCTCTCTTCCACATGCCCCACTTGTGGGATTCTCATGCAGTAGGTTAGCCCTTTTAACAAACAGGAAGAACAATATACTCCCGATAATATTAAGCCAAAGAGAATCAAATCACACAAAGCACATTCATCAACCATTTTACTTTACAATCCAACGATTCCAACTCAATTCAGTTTTCGATTCCAACTCAATTCAGTTTTCACTTACAAAATATGCATACCAGTACAGAACTACATATACTGACTGGGCATAAATTACTCACAGGGAAATTCAAAAAAGATCAAAAACAAGAAAGGACAACAAACAACAATCTCAATTCCAGATAATATCGAGCCAAAGACAACCAAAACTCACCTGAACAAAGCACATTCATCCACAATTTTCACCATACGACCAAATCTAACTTAGTTTACACTTTCAAAATTTTACCAAGTATAAAAACTACGTCAGTGACTGGGCATAATTTACAAAAAAAAAGGAATTCAAAGAGTATGAAAACAAAAACAAAAACAAAAAACAAAAAACAAGAACAGAGTCCTCACTTTCTCATAGAAAGAAGTTCTTGACGCTTGGGCTCGGAACTGTTGCCCTCCGATCGAGCGTTGAAATCCTCTTGCCGTCGCTTCGGTGCCATAATCGATGTTCGCAGAAAACAACACCCAAGTCAAGTGTTGTTCGTCGTGGTCACGAAGAGGTTGTTGACAGGACAAAGAGACCACCACGCGTTTTCCACCAACCAAAAAACATATAAATTACCCACTTTCTGTTATATATATATATATATATATGGGATTTTTACATATAAATGGAGTTAGGGAGGTATGTTTACTCATGAATGAATGAAGTCAAAGTCTTATATTTTCACAAAAATGTTTGACCTTAATAATGACATGGCACATGAATTAAAATTTTTGTTGCCTAAAATACCCTTCTTCCTATTTCAATACATTTACCTTATTACCCTTGTTTAGAAAACATGATACCTGGAGACCAAAAAGTGATACCTTCAGTTCAAAAATGTGGTACATTTAGAACAAAAGTGATACCTTCGCAAAAGGGACTTATTTTTGCAATTGAAAATGGCATTAAACCCCACACCGCTAATTAAGTTACACATTACATCCATAAACAGCTCTATTAGCGCCATAAATAACACAAAATATTCTCCAAGTTAGCTAAGCGAGTATTTAAAAAACATGGTACCTGGAGGCCAAAAATTGGTACCTTCAGTTCAAAAACGGGGTACTTTTAGAACAAAAGTGGTATCTTCGTAAAAGGAACTTATTTTTGCAATTGAAAATAGTATTAAACCCCACATCGCTAATTAAGTTGCACATTAGATCCATAAACAGCTTCATTAGCGCCATAAATAACACAAATATTTCTTAATTATCATATACTACATCTAAATAGTTAGTATGGTAGATTTTTTTTTTTCGCACCATTTTAATCGACAAGGCTGTTTGGGACTTTTGAATAACTATTTTAATAATGCAATTGTTAAAAAAATTATGGTATCCAAAGATCATGTTTGATATGGATTTGGGTCATAATTAAATCTTTAGAATTTTTCAATGATTATAGGGAGACACTTTGGTCTCTAGACCTCTTATACATGAAGACCATTTAGAATTTTGATATAGATCTGGGTCCTAATTAATTGTAGGATGCTATATATATATATATATATATATATATATATATATATATATTAATTGTATAATAAGAATAGAATGATTATCATGAATTCAAACATACATCTTATACATTATAACTTAAAGAGATTAATGTGTTATTGAGATTCTAGAATGCCCCAGTCTGGAATTATATTTTTCTTTGCATACAATTATAATTATACTGATGTGTTATTGAAATTTTGGAATGCCCCAGTTTAGAAATTCCGGAATGCCTCATCTTATGCATTTAATTATATTTTCTCATTTTGTTTAAGAGTTTGAAAATTTGTCCACGTTTTCAGTTCCTCTCCTTCACTTTTTCCGTTTCGCTTACTTCTTTAAGGTTGGTTAATTTTTTCGTTAATGTGATACAATTAAATGTAGTAACCTTCTTCCTTTTTTTTTTTTTTTTTTTGACAGTGTGATTGGAGGATCGATTCTTGCCATCAAGACTTTATATGAATAAGTGAGGGCTAATATTGCAATCAAGAGACTTTGTATGGACGAGTAGGGGCTAATAAATGTTCAAACTTAATAATTGTGTTCTTATTTTGCAAAAGATGATTACTTTCTTTAAATTTAGTGATTTAGTTTTTTATTTTTTGTTGACTTTATTAGATTGGATGGATCATAACTTTTTTGACATTCGTGGTGACTTAAAGTATTTTGTAGACATGGTACTTCACTTCATGGTTTTGATTTAATGAAAAGTAATGAATTTTGGTTGTTCTATTTAATAAATACATGCATGTTAGGCTTTTATATTTAATAAGAAGGTTTATAAATTTTTCAACAGCAGTTTATGGATCTAATGTGCAACTTAATTAACGGTGTGGGGTTTAATACCATTTTCAATTGCAAAAATAAGTTCCTTTTATGAAGGTACCACTTTTATTCTAAAGGTACCACGTTTTTGAATTGAAAATACCACTTTTTGGCCTTCAGGTACCATATTTTCTAAACACTCGCTTAGCTAGCTTGAAGAATAATTTGTATTATTCATGGCGCTAATGGAGCTGTTTATGGATGTAATGTGCAACTTAATTAACGGTGTGGGGTTCATTGTCATTTTCAATTGCAAAAACAATTCCCTTTTACGAAGGTACCACTTTTGTTCTAAATGTACCACATTTTTGAACTGAAGGTACCACTTTTTGGCCTCCAGGTACCATGTTTTCTGAACAAGGGTGATAAGGTAAATGCATTGGAATAAGGAGAAGGGCATTTTGGGTAACAAAAATTTTAAACAGTAAAACTTCATGTGCCATGTCATTATTTAGGTCAAACTCATTTTTGTGAAAATATAAGACTCTAACTCCATCCATGAGTAAATATGGCTCCATAACTCCATTTATATGTAAAAATCCCTATATATATATATATATATTAGGGCAAAGTACATAAAAACCTCCTTGGATTCGTAACTTTTTTTTTTGGTAAGCCCTTCCTCTATTATTTTACCAAAGAACCCTTAACTTGTATCATTTTTAAGTCCTTTTTCAATAAATCTCCCTGGTTTAATTTTTTGCCAAATAATTTCCTCAACTTTTAAAGGGGTAAAAGAATAAATATTTGGACCAAAATATCTTTTATTTAAATCTTAATTTTTCCGAACTTCAAAAATGCATATCTCACAAACCGTACATCCAAATATTACAAATAAGATATACACGAAAATCTTATAAAACAAGGATTACATAAATATAAGATTTGTTTAACAAAACTTCATAACCATAGTGAAATAAATAATCTAAAAATTTACTACAATAATCTTATTTTATTTTAATTTTTATAAAATACTTGGGTTATTTACAAGAATTTTTTTAAAATTATTCATTTTCATATGAAGCATAACATATAAAAAAATTAGCCCCAATAGAGACTGAATGTTCAATTTTATTTTATTTTTTAAATGGTGAGTCTATAAAAGAATGAAAATGTTTTGACGCAAAATATGATATCTCATAAAATCGATCTTTGTTGGGGTTAAATTTTTTATATATTCAGCACCATATGTAAATGAATAATTCTGAATTTTTTTTACAAATATCTCGAGTATTTTATTTTTTAAAAATAAAATAAGATTGTTGAAGTAAATTTTTAGATTACCTATTTCTCTCTGGTTATAAAGGTTTTTTGTACAAATCTTATATTTCTGGAATCCTTATTTCATAAGTTTTCAATACATATATTATTAATAATTTTTAAATGTACGGTTTGTGAGATGAAATTTTAAAGTTCGGCAGAATTAAGACTTAAATAAAAGGGTATTTTGATCTAAATATCAACTCTTTTACCCCCTTTATATAGTCGAAGAGGGTTTTATGGTAAAAAAATAGATAAAGTAATCAATGAGCCAGTGGCGTAACGGTATCAATCTCTTATTTTTAAATAAACAGGTCAAAAATATCAGTACCATGATTTTTTTAAAAGTATCAGTACCATGATTTTCTAAAAAAAAATATTAGTACCATTAATTTTAATCACAAAAATCCGCCTTGACTTTTACTTGTTTACAAAAGACTCTTCTTATGAATATCTTTAGCAATTAATCCCCCTCAACTATCATGAGAGGGTCATTTTAACTAACCTTTATTAGAGTAATTGTGAGATAAAATTTTTAGACAAAATTACCTTTAAAATCAAAACAATACATTAGTATTACTAAAGTACTCACCACTCACTTTATTTTTATTTTTTTAACTGCATAAAATACTAAAACGAAGCCTCTTATTATGAAACAAGGCCTTTGATTTTTTCTTTCGAAATATTCGTGCATTTGGAATATATATAGTAATATGGTATTTATTTATCAAATGTCAACTTAAATTGATTTTGGTATAAAAAAAAAAAAAAAAAAAAATTATAGATACCTTGTACCATGATTTTTTTATAAAATAAGATAAAGAAAGAGATATATATATATATACACACACGAGAAATCCAAAAATATCAGTATCATGATTTTTTATAAAATTTAAAAATAAAAATTTATAAGATTCTAAAAAATTATAGATATAGCATACCCAAAAAAAATCCAGTGGTGTCCACCATAATATCAAAACAAAACCCCCCTCCCCCACCCCACAAAAACATATTTCACACTTGTCTTTATATTTTTATTTTTTTATAGTCAAAAGATATTTCACTTAAATAACAAATATTTGTTTGGACTATCTTTAATTATTTATTTTTTCTATAGAAAAAACGTTTATTATGACATAAAATTTGATTTATTTCAACATCATAAATCTTAATCCCAATACTTTTTTATTAAATTGTGATATGCTACACTCACACACACACACACACATATATTTATATAAATGAAAAAAGCCACTTCCTCCTAATTATGAGATGATTTTGTCACATATTTTGATAAATTTCTACTTTTAAATTTTATAAAAAATCATGGTACTGATATTTTTGGATCTCTTGTATATATCTTTTTTTTAATCTTATTTTATAAAAAAATCATGGTAAAAGTTTTTTTTTTTTTTTTTTTCACCAAAATCAATTTAAGTTGACATTTAATAAATAACTACCATATTACTATATATATTCCAAATGCAAGAACATTTAAAGAAAAAATCAAAGGCCTCGTTTCAAAATCAGAGGCCTTGTTTTAGTGTTTTATGCAATAAAAAAAAAAATGAGTGGTGGATACTTTAGTAATACTAATGTAATGTTTTAATTTTAAGAGTAATTTCGTCCGAAAATTTAATCACACAATCACTCAAACGGATGTTTCATGTTAAGGGTAATTTTGTCCAAAAATTTTCCTCACACAATTACTCTAACAGAGGTTAGTTAAATAATCATAAGCATTTTCGTAAAGATAACCAACTCATGATAGTTGAGAGCAGTTAATTGCTAAAGATATTTATAACGGGAATTTTTTTACAAACGGGTGAAAATCAAGGGAGATTTTTTGCATTTCGCCCTTATATTTATTATACTTTATCAAGGCTTTAGCTAAGTGCGAGGAAAATCCAATCTTCCTTCTCACATTAAAAGGTCAGAAAATTCATAATTTATTTATTTTTGCAATCTAACTGAACACAAGACTAGA